AGGGTTTAGGGTTTAGGGTTTAGGGTTTAGGGCATGGGAGTCCTGTGCTTATGGTTAGGGTAGAAAGTTGTTTATAGTTCGGACTTAGGTTTAGGGCTTCGTGTCGATGATCCCTGTGTGACGCCCCAACAAGATCCATGTACCCGTTTCGTAGGTACTTCAGCCTACCTAGGGAGGCCACAAGCATTCCCAAACCCTAAACCCTAAACCCAAAACCCAGAACCCTAAACCCTCAACCCTGAATCTTTTCATGACAGCATGCCAGCTCCAATAGCAGGCCTGAAACTTCGAAAACACCTAAGCCCCTAAACAGCCCAATATCAAATCTTGTGTAAGCAGAGCCCCTAAACCGAAAAGCCAAAGCCCTGGACCCTGAAGCCTGAACTCTGAAAACCCTAAACCCTAAACCCTAAACCCCAAACCCCAAACCCAAAACCCTAAACCCTAAACCCTGCCCCCCCCCCCCCCCCAACCCCCGACGAACATCAAGGAATTCATGCCTCTGCCATCGATCGGCGCTCGGCAGCCTGGACGTGGCTCTTGGCTCCCAGACTCCCAGTCTCAAGCCCTGAAACCCAAAACCAGAAAACCCCACACCACTCTAAACCAACCCTAAACCCTAAGCCCCAAACCCTATAACCCCTAAACCCCAAAATCCTAACCCCCTAAACCCCTAACCCCTAAACCGTGAACCCTAAACAGTATAAGCCCTTAACCCCAGACTCCTACAAGCTGTGATCTCCGCACCTCGGCGGCCATACCGCGGCGCTGGCGAGCCCCGTCTTTCGCGCCCTGAGAAGTTTGGGGAGTAGGGTTTAGGGTTTAGGGTTTAGGGTTTAGGGTGGTTTTGGGGCTTAAATGGTTCTGTAGTCTTTGGGGTTTAGGGTTAGGATCTACGCCTTGTAGTTTGCAGTTGAGTGTTTGGGATTGAGGCACCACTAGGGTTTATAGGATTTCCAGGCTGTAGGGCTTCAAAGGCGCTTTACAGTTCAAGGTTTAGGGTTTAGGGTTTAGGGTTTAGGGTTTAGGGTTTAGGGTTTAGGGTTTAGGGTTTAGGGTTTAGGCACGCAAACTAGCGCCAGGCTTCGGGCATCTGCGGGGCCTAGGAAGCCCGAGGCTTCCTGAAAGAGCTCTGAAAAGAATCCCTAAGCCCTAAACCCTAAACCCTAAACCCATATTAAACCCTAAACCCAAAACCCTCTTCAGCCGTCTAGCCGCCCCAAAAAGGGCTCATGTAGCCAGTTAGTATAGGGACTTAGAACATGAAAACGGAGGCCAAAGTGTTCCCTGCAAGAGTATTAGGGTTTAGGGTTCAGGGTTCAGGGTTTAGGGTTTAGAGTTCAGGGTTTAGGGTTTAGAGTTTAGTAGTTTAGGGTCTTTTGGGGGTAGAGCCGCCAACGTAAGGGGCATCTTAGTGTTTGGGATGTAGGCTTCGTGGTTTGCAGTTGCGTGGATATAGGTGCCAATACCTTGAGGACCCAAAACCCGCTTTTTCGTAGGTTCCCAAGAAGTTTTACAACAATGACCTACAAAAAGTGAGTTTGGGGTCCTTAAGGTAGGGTTTAGGATATACAGCCTGTGGGGCTTCAAAGGTGCCAACTTACCTTACTGTTGGGAAAAGCAGGGAATGACGGAATGAGGTACCCTATATATATATATACCCTTTAAGGGGTTATTCATAGGGTACCTCATTCCCCATTCCCTACTAGCCATCAGTAAGTATGGGTGGGAGGAGGACCCTAAACCCTAAACCCTAGACCCTAGACCCTAAACCCTGAACCCTAAACCCTAAACCCTAAACCCCCATTCCCTACTAACCAATCAGAAGCCTCCACGTTGTTGAGGGCCGTCGCGCGCCGCGCATTGGCGGCGCCGGCACGGAAGATGAGCTTGTCGAGCTGCTCCTAAGGTTGATAACCCTTTCAACCCTAAACCCTAAACCCTAAACCGATGTATCCGTGACTCCACCAGGTTAGTGGTATTTACCCCTTCGAGTTGCATACCTTCAAGCAGCAGCTGTAGAAGCCCAAACAAGATTTACGCACAGCTGCAAATATTAATGAAGAAGCTGTGTGCCCCTAAACCCTAAACCCTAAACCCTGAACCCTATATACTACGTATTCATTGGGAACTTTGCGATTACAATTGTTGCTCCCCAAAGCAATCCCCCGCAATCACAGCTCTCCTTGCCAGGCTTGCCCTCGAAATCCACCTGTAGGCAGAGGGAGGCGGTAGGGTTTAGGGTTTAGGGTTTAGGGTTTAGGGTTTAGGGTTTAGGGTTTGGGGTTTAGGGTTTAGGGTTTAGGCTTTAGGGTTTAGGGCTTAGGGTTTAGGGTTTAGGGTTTAGGCTTTGGGGTTTAGGGTTGAGGGTTCTGAACCAGGGTTCAGGGTTCAGGGTTTCGGGGCTCTGGGTTTCGGAGGCTTTGAATTTGAACCATCATGAGCTCCTAGGGTGCGGAGCTTGGCTGCTTTCAGAAGTGCACCGAGCCTCTGAGGTCTAGGGGGTTGTAAGAGGTACTGAAGTGCATCCGGCGAAAAAAGCCTGTCAAGTTTCTACTGTGGGCTTTCCAATGCAACATCTGCGAGATGAGTCAAGATCATGTCGTGTAGCATGCTGCCAGTTCACACATCCAAGCAGTTAAGGCTGCAACAAGCCTCCGCCCCCGCCCCAAACCTAATTTCAGGTACCCCCAAGCTATCCTGAGTCCTGAAATCTCTTGAAGCCCAGCCATAGAAGAAACCCAATCCCTAACAAAAGCAAAAACCTATCATCTGTTGCCTCTACCCTCCCAGACCCGGATTCTTACCTAGGGATTTGCTTTGCGGGCCCCTAAATGCAGAAAGTTCGTAAGAAAGTATTTGCGACTATTTTAGCCGTCTGTAAGCACGAAGCCCAAGTCTTGGTCCGAGTCTTGGTTTAGGGTTTAGGGTTTGGGGTTTTGGGTTTGGGGTTTAGGGTTTTGGGTTTATGGTTTAGGGTACCAGGGGGCAGGGTGAAGTCCGCGCTCAGGGTCGAACTGGGATTCGGAAAGGATTTTGGGGGCAGAGCCTAGGGTTTAGGGGCGCTTCGGGGACCCAACCCTAAACCCTAAACCCTAAACCCTAAACCCTAAACCCTAAACCCTAAACCCTAAACCCTAAACCCTAACCCCTAACCCCTAAACCCTAAACCCTAAACCCTAAACCCTAAACCCTAAACCCTTACGAGTCCCTCGATCACCAAACCCCTGAGCCGCACAAATAAGTGCTGCGCCTCCTCCATCGACTCCCCTTAGCTCAGAGGCTTGCTTCGTCGTGCACCCGGTTTAGGGTTTAGGGTTTAGGGTTTAGGGTTTAGGGTTTAGGGTTTAGGGTTTAGGGTTTAGGGCTTAAGTGTTCAGGGCCGAGGGTTAGGGGCTTTGAGTGGAGTTAGAGCTTTGGGCTTCGGGCTATGGGGTTTTAGGGTTCAGGGCAGGGCTTGCAGGACTTTTGGGTTTTTTTGTTTTTTTTTTGGGGGGGGGGGGGGGGGGTTGGTGACCTGCTGTGGTTTAGGGTTTAGGTTTTAGGGTTTCGGGTTTAGGGTTTAGAGATTAGGACTCGGGTTCTTTTGTTGTTGGAAGGGGCTCTTGATTGCACAGACGAAAAGGGTTTAGGGCTCAGGGCCCTGCAAGGTCAAAACAGCGGAGGCCGAGGCTCACGGAGTCCGGAGCTTTGTGGGTTAGGGTTTAGGGTTTAGGGTTTAAGGTTTAGGGTTTAGGGTTTAGGGCTAGCATCTTTCCCACTGGCAAAGGAAGATGCATACCAGTTATGGTTTCTAGGCATTCTGCATTGTGCCTGGTGACTGTGGTGAAGATTATGGAGAGGGGATTACAGCAAGCTGACCCGAATTCGCTGAGGACCTCGCTACACCAATTCGCAAGTGTTTCGGCATGGGTGCAAGAAGAGATGCCCTCCCTAAACCCAAAACCCAAAACCCTAAGCCCTAAGCCCTAAGCCCTAAGCCCTAAGCCCTAAACCCTAAACCCTAAACCCTAAACCCAGGCCCTGGTCTAACCAACTAACTTAACGGGGCGTTAAGGCGCCAAACTTGCAGAGGTTTGGTAAGAGCAAGCGCAGACACCTACAGCATGTCCTACAAACCTAAACACCAAAACCCGAACACTAATTTGTTTTTAGACCTAAACCCCAAATCCTAGCCTATACCGCAGAACCTAAACCCTAAACTCTGATAAACCAAGCAAGGCCTACTAACCACAGGCCGGCCACGGTTTTCGGACACGTAGGCCATGACCGACCGAAAGGCGTCGGAAGCTTCCTGTTAGGGCTCAGGGTTTCCGGTTTTGGGGTTTGGGGTTTAGGGTTTTAGCACGGGGGGTTTTAAGGCAGGGTTTCAGGGGTGTAATTATAGGGTTCAGAGTTTAGTGAGTTTAGGGCCTAGAGGGCTCAGGGCACAGGTGCTCCGCGGAGGCTATTTAGGAACTTGTCTCAGGATTAGGCCCGGAACGGAGAAGGTTGCTGCAAAGGTTTCGAAAGCAGCATGCAACTTTACATGAGGGCAAGATTGACGCTTCACCTTAAACCCTAAACCCTAAACCCTAAACCCTAAACCCTAAACCCCCTCCAAATTTAAGTTGGGCGTTCTGGGCTCAAATCTTGGCTTCAGATCCCTCACATCCTTCAGACCCCATTAAGCACCGCAAGGACCCATAAAGCTTGCTTAGGTAAGTCTGCACTATATGGTTAGAGTATGGTTGTAGTAAGCGGATCGTATTTAATCAGAACCTACTATTTGCTTAAGAACCCCCCCCCCCAAAAAAAAAAAAAAAAAAAAAAAAAAAACCACATGTTCTTCCCTATAGGGTAATATCGGGCATATGATATTTGATTGTTTGGGGTTTCTGCAGCAAATAGTAGGTAAGGCTCCCGACCCTAAACCCTACCCTAAATCCAAAACCCTAAACCCTCAACCCTAAACCCTAAACCCTAAACCCTAAACCCTGAACCCGGCAATTGAATCAGTATCAGGCGCCCGCCTCGTCCATCTGCGTCATGGACTCGGAGAAGTTCTCCAGGTCCTCGTCGCTGAACGCTTCGGGGCCTGGCCACCAAAAGGTGCGGCAAAAACTTCTGGTGGTTGGGGGCTTGGGGTTTCGGGTTTGGGGTTTAGGGTTTAGGGTGATTGGGATTTAGGGTTTAGGGTTTAGGGTTTAGGGTGATTGGGATTTAGGGTTTAGGGTTTAGGGATTAGGGTTTAGGGTTTGAGGTGATTGGGGTTTAGGGTGAGTGGGGTTTAGGGGTCTAGGGTTTGCTTTCCATGTTCACCAGCTGATTGCAACTCGCTTGCAGAGGCCATAACAGAAGCCCTAAACACTAAATCCTAAAAACTACACGTAAACCCCAAACCCTAAAGCCCTAAACCCTAAACCCTAACCTTTACCCGAAACCCTAAATCCCAACCCTAAACCCCAAAGCAACCCTAAACCCTAAACCCAAAACCCCAAGCCCTAAACCCCAAGCCCTAAACCCTAAACCACAAATAAACCGTAAACCCCAAACCCCAAGCCCTAAACCCTAACCCCAAGCCCTAAACCCTAAACCCCAAACCAACCCTGAACCCCAAACCCTAAACCCCAAGCCCTAAACCCTAAACCCCAAACCAACCCAAAACCCTATACCACAAACCATGAGCCCCAAACCCTGAACCCTAAACCCTGAACCCCAAAACCCGAACCAACCCTAAACCCTAAACCCCAAACGCCAAACCCGAAACCCTTTCGGCGCATATACGAACCCGGTCCTCCGCGGAGAGTGGCAACTGGGCAGGTTCAGGAACGGGAGGGGACGGCTTCTCATTTGTCTGTGTTGGCGCCTCGTGGTCCGGAGCCACTGGTTGCTGGCCCTAAACCCTAAACCCTAAACCCTAAACCCTAAACCCTAAACCCTAGCAGCGGTCCTTGCCCCACTTGCCACAACCTGGACACTGGGTGCTCATGGCGGCTTCCAGGCTCTGAGGTCTTCCGGATGCTCTCGGGGCGACTCGCGGTCAGGGGGCCTTAGAGCCCCAGAGTTCCGGGGTTTAGGGTTTAGGGTTTAGGGTTTAGGGTTTAGGGTTTAGGGTTTAGGGTTTAGGGTTTAGGGTTTAGGGTTTAGGGTTTAGGGTTTAGGGATATTTTGTGAAGGCGTAGGGTTGGCTTTAAGGCTTGTAATTTGTAATTTCATGGTGTATAATGTTTGGCTTTCAGCATAAGGCGCTAAAGCGCTGAGGGGTCAGGATCTGATGCCTTCTTGAAGCATCTACACCCTAAACCCTAAACCCTAAACCCTAAACCCTAAACCCTAAACCCTAAACCCTAAACCCTAAACCCTAAACCCTAAACCCTAAACCCTAAACCCTAAACCGAAACAGCTGATGTCCACCTTCGAGGCTCTTCAGCTTGTCATCCATGTTGTCAACAACGGTCTCGACCACCTCCGAACTGAGAGTTTATAAGGCTAGGGTTTAGGGGTTTAGGGGTTTAGGGGTTTAGGGGTTTAGGGGTTTAGGGGTTTAGGGGTTTAGGGGTTTAGGGGTTTAGGGGTTTAGGGGTTTAGGGGTTTAGGGGTTTAGGGGTTTAGGGGGTTAGGGGGTTAGGGGTTTAGGGGTTTAGGGGTTTAGGGGTTTAGGGGTTTAGGGGTTTAGGGGTTTAGGGGTTTAGGGGTTTAGGGGTTTGGGGGTTTAGGGGGTTTAGGGGGTTTAGGGGGGTTAGGGGTTTAGGTGCTTAGAGCATCGAGGTTGTTTAGGGGGATGGAAGTATTCGTGCTTCTGGTGATTGGCGAGTCTCGCAGACTTCGTGGCTTGGTGTTTATGGTATCGCTTTTGATAGAGAGGAGGGGTGGTAACTAGGCTTCGAGGAGCTCTGAGAGCTTGAGTGCGCCAAAGGGGCAACCCTAGTGTCTTGCAGCTAAACCCTAAACCCTAAACCCTAAACCCTAAACCCTAAACAAACCCTAAACCCTAAACCCTAATCTGGATATAGCTAGCTCAGCCTCAACGAGCTGCTCGAGCTGCTCAATGAGCTTCTTCGACGCCTTTGTTGCTGGAGATGTTGGGGCATTTGATGTTTAAACCCTGAACCCTAAACCGTAAACCCTAAACCCTAAACCCTAAACCCTAAACCCTAAACCCAGTTGACTTGAGGCATTCTAGAGAAGTAGACAATCCCGTACAAGCTGGTATAGGGAGAGACAAGGTGCTTAGCTGCCTCTATTCCCTACTAAGAACTCGTCAGTTTATGGCCGGAACTCCAAATCCTGACCCCCCATCCGCAAAACGCAGACCCGAATGTCGAGTGTACTCGGCTCAGTGGCCAGGACGGACGAATGGTACTCCACGGTTCCTACTAGTAAGGGAATAACAGCCAAGAAACAAAAGGCTCCTTCTTGGGTCCTAGTGTGATACCTAAACCCTAAACCCTAAACCCTAAAACCTGTCCCTAAATTCTGACAGCGTCCACGTCCCCCGTTTCCGCCTACACTCTGCAACACCCATCAGAGTGGCGGCTGCCGCACTTCAGACACGTGGATGGGCTAAGAGTCATATCACAAAGCGCTACCAAACACGTTATACATGCCACATCATCATCACCGTCATGATCAGCAGCAGCAGCGTCATCGTCATCGTCATCGTCATCGCCGTCATCGTCATCGTCATCGTCATCGCCGTCATCGTCATCGTCATCATCATCCCGCGCGGACTCAGAGTTCAGGGCTTAGGGTTTCCAGAAGAACAAGGTCCTGCACCACTGAATAAACCACCATGCACCAAGCAATGTAGTTACCAGAACACGCAGAAAGGACAACTCGCAGAACAAATGCAGCAACAACAACACATGGACCCTGTAAATCAAAAACCCTAAGCCCCTTAAACCCTGAACGGAAAAGCAACTCCAAAACCTCTTGCACCCGCGTATTTCCAGCCCAAAAACCGAGGCAAAACATCGAACACAACCAAACCTCCAAGCGCCCCGGCCTCTTCGTACTGCCGTCGACTCTCTTCGGCAACCCTCTTCTTGGCGTCAACCTGAGAACGGGTTTCGAGTCTCAGGGTTTGGGGTTTAGGGTAAACCCCAAACCCGAAACGCCCCTAAACCCTACCAATTTTTTCCTCAACCCTGAACGCCCTGAACCTAAACCCCAAACCCTAAACCCTAAACCCTAAACCCCTAACCCCTAAACCCCTAAACCCCTAAACCCCTGAACCCCTCAACCCCTCAACCCCTAAACCCCTAAACCCCTAAACCCCTAAACCCCTAAACCCTAAACGCCGTAAACCCTACTAAACCCCATGGGCCTCAATTCGGGCTCAGGTTGTTTGCTGGACTTGAATTCGGGCCGAGGGCTTTGTTTGGGGGGGGGGGGGGGGGGGGAGGGTTCTCTGAGGAGTTGCTACAAACGTGTATGCATGTAGGTATAAATAATAATAATAATAATCATAGCAATAATAATAATAATTATTATGATAATAATAATAAACTACTACCAATAATAATCAGAATAATAATAATCAAAATCATACTAATTATAATCATCATCATCATAATACCAAAATCATAGTATCGATACTAATGGTTCCTATTCATACTACGTACTGTACCGCTCAGGTGCAAACATTTCAAACACACACACACCCCCCCCCCCAGCCCAAAACAAAACACCCTGAAGGCCTCAAATGCCCCTGAACCCTGAACCCTGAACCCTAAACCCTGAACCCAAAACCCTGAACCCTAAACCTTAACCCCTAAGCCATAAAAGCCTAAACCGGGGCATGAGCACCAAAGTTCCCGCCAAGCGGCTCGCTGGTTGAACTGGCTGATCTTTGCGACGCGGAGCTTTGCCTCGTGCTTGACCTGGCTAAAGCCTAAAACCTAGACCCTAAACCCTAAACCCGGCTTTGGGTGTATGAGGAGCTTTTCAGAGTTTAAGATTCACAGAGCTTGGGGCTTCTATAGTGTTCGTTGTCTTAACTCTGAACCCAAACCTCACCCCTAACCCCAAAACCCCAAGCCATAAACCAGCAGCGAAATCATACTCATACGCGGAGTGCTAGACCTTAGGCCCTCCACAATGAAAGACACCAATGCCCTAAGGCCTGAACCCTAAATGCCAGGCCCTTACCCTAAACCCTAACCCTAAATCCTAAACCCTCAACCCTCGACCCTCAACCCTAAACCCTAAACCCTAAACTCTGCGGACCCTCGGACTCCCAAACCACAAGCCTTCTTACCAAAAACACCGAAAACCTGCAACCCAAAAAACCCCAAACCCAAACTCACTAGGTCCTGAATCCCCTAAACCCTAAACCCTAAACCCTAAACTTCCTAAACCCTAAACCCTAACCCTCAACTTCCCCGGCGCCTTGTCGGCCTCCAAGCGCATGCTCCGTGGGAGGAGCATGGCCTCCTGGAGGAGGAGCTCGTCCACCTCTCTGAGCAAGGTATGTAGGGTTTAGGGTTTAGGGTTTAGGCTTTAGGGTTTAGGGTTTAGGGTTTAGGGTTTAGGGTTTAGGGTTTAGGGTTTAGGGTTTGGGGACACGGCTGTCCCTAAAGCCGAAAGCTCACACCTTTCCCTAACCCGATGAAAGCCCGCAAGCAACCTAAATGTGTCTTGACTTCTGGGTAGGTTTACCATGCTTAGGTACGCGTGCTTCCTTGTTCCCTAAACCCTAAATCCTAAACCCTAAACCCTAAACCCTAAACCCTTGAAGAGAGCCTGGGGCATCAGTGTCTGGGCACTTCAACTTGAAGCTACCCAGCTCGAGCCCCTAGTCGACCCCAGAGCCTCCGACATCATTGGGGTAGTTCTGTAAGTTAAGGTTTCAATGGGTTTAGGGTTTAGGGTTTAGGGTTTAGGGTTTAGGGTTTGGGGTTTGGGGTTTAGGGTTTAGGGTTTTCGGGGCTCTTATCTTCAGGGCGCCGTACAAAATAAGGGCTCAAGAAGGGACCCGAATTTGGAGAACTGCATGTTGTCTGGCTTTCGAGCGTTAAGACCCTCGGCCCATGCCTCCGCTGTGAGTTCTCGGAGCGTATCTGGCTTGGCCAGGCGCAGCTTCTGCCTGAGGGCGGCGCGGAAACCAGACACGCAGAGGGCGTAAAGCCCACAAACGCAAACACGAGACAGCAAGACAGGTCTCAGACCTCTCTATACACATCCACAATGTCTAGCGCCAAGTTCAGCGCAATCTGTGTAGGGGCTGAGGGTTTAGGACTGCGGTGATTTGGAGTCTGGCTTCTGCCTCAGGGAATTTGAGCATTCTGGGTTTCGAGGCTTAGGATGGTGTAGTAGCTTGCCGAATCCGTTGGAGGAGAGAAGGGGCGCAGCAAGGCTCTGTGATCCTGGCGGGTTGGGCAAGGCGTCTCTAGACCCAAGACGAACCTAGGAATGAGGAGGGCACCCTTTTTGGTTTTCAGGGGCTTACAAGGGAACCCAAACCCTAACAAAAGGGAATAAGGGCCTACTCTGGGTCCTAGGTCTTCTGCCGAAGAGCAAAGCCCGGCGGAGGAGCAGCAGCGCGTGGTGCTCGCGCTTCTTCTGCTCCGCCTCCCAGTAATCCGCGTAATCAACCCTATAAAAGGGCCTTTTTAGTAGGTCACAGGGTATCATAGCCTATGCTGGTCTGCCCAGGAAGTGTAGAGTTCAAGAATCACTATACTTCCTTGTTGAGAAGCGGCCAGGAATGGCTGAGGAGTGTGCACTGGTTTCGCTACTACATTAGACCACCCACATGCATGCTGTAGGCTAGTTTTCAGAGACAAAGAAGACTGCATTGGAGGATGCCGAAACTGAAGACAATAGCACACAATCAGCTGTGAGCGCAAGAGATGTTCAACATAGGTCACTCACGTGCCAGCGTCACATTTTTGCGATGTTCTCTCTTCCCAGGGGAACCGTCAAGACGCAGATTTAGAGACCATGAGCAGCTCGGACGAGCAAGAAGAGAGACGATGAAGAGGGACACAGCCTCCATGCTTGACCCCATGAAGGACTGATCCCCCCGCCGTTCTGTGTAAGCCTGTGTTCGGGTGGCCCGTGCTTGTGTGCTTAAGAAAAGAGGATATGCTCTGGAGACGTTGAGCCTGAATAACCTTGGATTCCCCGAACCCCCTGGTAGGGCAAAGGACTCAACACCCAAGTTTGGAGTTTCAGGGTTTCGGGTTTATAGGGGAGCTCTGAACTCCTAGTTGAAGCCCGACCTCGAACTGCCGCCTCTGCTCGAGCTCCTCTTTGCGCTGTATCGCCAGCCTTACCAGACATGCGTCTTTAAACCCAAACCCCTAAACCCTAAACCCTAAACCCCAAACCCTAAACCCCAAACCCTAAACCCTACCTAAACTCTAAATCCGAGACCCTAAACCCTATATACTTGGTGTATATATATATATGTATGAGCCTCAAGCCCCATGGCTGCTCCTGACTGCTGGGTCTTCCCTGAACCCTAAACCCGAAACCCCGCTAGGGTGCTTCCGATTCCGTGTGTCTCTGTGTGTGTGTGTGTGTGTCTGTACGTCTGTGCGTCTGTGTTTCGACTTGGACAAAAGAGGCTGGCGCCCTCCGCCCTCCTTGCCCGACGTACTCCACAACGCACGAGGTAAGTCGTAATTAACTGAGTCGTTCAAGAGACGGTCACAGGGCCATCCTGCGAAACTTGCGGCGTGTGCTTGCCCATCGGGCTGCCATACACAAGCCTGAAAGACGCAGCGCCTCCCTCCAAAGTCTCATCCCTGTACCCTAAACCCTAAACCCTAAACCCTAAACCCTAAACCCTAAACCCTAAACCCTAAACCCTAAGCCCTTGACCAGCCGACGTTTGCGCCATGGCACCTCTCTCGCTCGGCCATCAGCTGCCGCGAGAGCTCCTCCTGCGAAGCAGCTCGGAGCCACTACCCATATGAAGCAGGGTTTAGGGTTTAGGGTTTAGGGTTTGTACCCCCAAAAGGACACCCAATATATACACTCACCAATGCTAAGAAAAACTGCATATACACTCACCAGTAACAGAAATATAAACCCTGCTTCATATCGGGTTTGGGAGGTAGGGTTTGGGGTTTATAGGGCTTGGGGCTTACAGTTCTATGGAGATTTAGGGGTTGGGGTATACAGGGGAGAGCGCTTAGGGCACTAAGAGGGAATGCAACCTTGTAAGTATAACTTAACTGCGTACATGGAACCTTTGGTACGTGTAGCAGCCCCTGAATTGCACAAACCACCACGAAAGACGCTTAGTAGCACACTGCGCAACATCCCAAACCCTACGTCACAGGGTGAGCTTTCTAGTGGCCACACAAACCACCACGAAAGACGCTTAGTAGCACACTGCGCAACATCCCAAACCCTACGTCACAGGGTGAGCTTTCTAGTGGCAACCACCAGATATTCCAGTGCACTGATGAAGCTCAGGGGTTCTCGAGCAGTGAACATCGGTTCTCAGAGATAGCTGCCTCGCGTAGTACAGGGATGTCACGCAGCAAGATGATCGGCCTGATGCACATGCCTGCATATGCCACATACAGCGCCGGCACGACATTTTCTTGCCAGACATATTACGCACTGCTCCAGCAGAAGCTCCAGTTCGTGCACTTACGAGACTGCATACAACTGCAGGCTTGCCCCTTCATCATAACAGCCCCCACATTTAGGAAGCACCCTTGCACTACTATCTTGTCTAAATGAGATGGGACCCGAACGGCAAATTTGGGAAGGATAACTCCGTGAGGCAAAACCATGGGATAACCAAGGATCTGCAAATCAGTCTCAACCTATGATTTTAGACCTGTGACACCTTCCCCCAACTTTCTGCAGATACAGGTCTTGCCCTGTTGACACTCCAAAGTTCAGCTATACTTTCACTTGGAGCCCTGGAAAAGTCTGTATACCACATTCTGTTTCTTGGATACATAAAAAGCACCAACATCTCATGAGCACAGTTTCAAGATCCCCCCCCCCATCATTGAGGAGAACACCCACCAAGTCCTTTGTCACCCTCCTAACTCCAGCTTTTCTGCTCCTGCTGGAACATCAGTTCCAACTCTTTCTTTCTTCGCGCCGCCTCACCGGCTGAGTTTGGGGTTTCGGGCTTCGGGCTTCGGGTTTAGATTTAGGGTTTAGGGTTTAGGGCCTTTTAGGGTTTAGGGATTAGGGTTTAGGGTTTATATAGGGTTGACGGTCGCGGTTTCGGGCGGCTTCGAAGGTTTCGGGCTTGAGGTGTTAGGGTTCACGGAGGTGCGAGGCATCAGCTAGGTTTGTCAGAGATAGTGAACATGTCCTGGAAATAGGCACTCACTGGGTTCGGGGATACACCAGACTTTTGCTAGCACGGTACTTTTTGGTTGTGCTTCTTCGCCCTGCAGATCCAATAACGAACTCGCACAGCAAACAGAAACGGTTGCTTCCCCAGCCCCCCAAAGTACTATAATCCTTTTACAGGAACCCCCCCTCCCCACCCCCCCCCCTCAAAAAAAAACAATAATATAAATAACTATACTATAAATAAATATACATAATATATACATATATATATATATGTCGGAAATCCTCATATGGGGCTGAGGCTAGTGTGGATTGGGCACGCAACCAAAAGCGTTGGGGGAGCCTATGACTCCTCTGAGGTCTCTACCCCTAAGGCCTGAACCCCAAACCCTAAACCTCAAACCCTAAACCCCAAACCCTAAACTCCAAACCCTAAACCCCAAACCTCCAAACCCCAAAACCCTCCATAAACCCCAAACATCCCAAACCTCCCAACCATCCCAAGCCCGAAGCCCAAGTCCCTGAGCTCTCAACTCGGCCCACTTCGGGGCCCGAGAGGGGGGCCTGTTCTCCTTTCGAGAGGATGGGAGCAGGCTTCTCTGCCTGCCAATGTTGGTTTAGGGTTTAGGGTTTAGGGTTTAGGGTTTAGGGTTTAGGGTTTAGGGTTTAGGGTTTAGGGTTTAGGGTTTAGGGTTTAGGGTTTAGGGCCAGGGTCCCAAGTATAGGCCCTTTAGTTGGGTCCCTTGTTTTATAACCCTTCTATACACTCTACATCACTAGGGCCCATACTTCGGATCCCTATAAACACGGCTAGGGACCATACTAGGGGCCGATTTGAGCCAAGCCGCAGCAGGGTTTCTGGTTTATAGGGATTTTAGGAATCTTGTGGGGATTCTTAGGGTGTCTAGGGTTCTTTGAGGTGGGAACTCGAAATGCAGAGTGAAGGGTGGGGCCAGAGACATGGGTTCAGGAATTCAGTTTCGAGGTCTTGGGCTTGATGCTTTAGGATTTTTGGGGCTTGGGTAGCCGGGTTTTGGGGTTTAGGGGCTCGGGAGTTTAAGATTAAGCGCGGCATGTTGAGAAGTATGTGGGGTTTACTATACGGCCGCGTGGCTTCAGTTGCTCCAGTTGTAAGATAGGCGCTCTCATTCAAATCTCGGGGTCTCATCGGCAATATATATATATATATATATGTTTATTTATTTGTTTAATTATTTATTTATTTATTTACATGTATATGAGACATATACACCCTCAGCGGCGTACAACAGTCTCTTGAAGCACGAACGGTCTTAGCTAGTAAGCCCCTCAAGATTTCATGCATGTTCTAACCGCTGGAATCTACATTTTAATTTATATAATAACATCAAACGAAACGCTGTGTGCTGCCCGTGAAAAAGACCACCCGAAATAATGCAGGTCGCAACACAAGGTCGCTCGGGGGTGCTGAGAAGGAAGTGAAGCTTAGGTACCACAATAAACAATCTGCTTTGCGGTGCAACTTCTGTAACCACATTGTATGCTCCGGTGACTTACTTGAAGGTCACTAACAGTAGCCTAAACCCTAAACCCTACACCCTGAACCCTAAAAACACTCGACGCAAAACTTCTGGGTTACAAACAGCACATCGGGCCTTGGACGTACCGGGCTGGCGCCCGGGGACGGAGGCACCCTTCATCAGCCGAGTGATCTGGGAGCAGACCGATTTGGGCTTCAGGATTCAAGCATGTAAGCATAAGGGGCGTGGGTTTACATGGTTTGGGGGGGATGTAAGGTTTAGAGCATTGGTCTTGATCGTTTGATACGATGGGGGCCCGGGCCCGGGCAAAGGTCTAGTTCCATTACTCACGGGCCACCGACACTGGAGAATGTCTGGGTGGTTGTTGGTGCAAGGCACATTTGAACAGCGTCTTATGAAAAGGCCTTCTTCCAGCAGAGTTTCCTCCGTGAGGTCTTTGCCATGGCAACCCCAAACTCTAAGGTTAAATTATGCGAATTTTGCAAGCCAGCCAATGACAGTCGAACTTTGAACCAGAAACATAGACTTGCCTGAGCAGCTTCCTGGGGAACTAACGGTGATGAGGATTCTCCTACCACCTCCACCCGGCCAGCCCCCTCTCCCCCGACCCCCACCCCCCACCCCCCAGAAGGTTCTACCGAGTCGATGGCACGAGGCTATGCGTCCATCTTCTTGAGGCATCCGAAGGCTACCCTAAACCCTTAACCTCTAACCCCTACCCTAAACCCAATCGAAAGAAAAGTCATCAGGAGATCCTTCAATAATGGACCTTGGGGTGCCCTTGCATGACAGCTCAAGGCCTAAGCCTCAAACCCCCTAAACCCTAAGACCCTAAGACCCTAACCCCTGAACCCTAAACACTAACCCTAAACCCTAAGCCCCCTAAACCCTAAACCCTAAACCCTAAACCCTAAACCCTAAACCCTAAACCCTAAACCCTAAACCCTAAACCCTAAACCCTAAAAGCCAGTCGAGTTGCGATCTCAATGCTTGAGTCGACCGGCCCGTCGAAGGGGCACCTTGGCTGGCATCCGAAGCGAAGTTTGGGGTTTAGGGTTTAGGGTTTAGGGTTTAGGGTTTAGGGTTTAGGGTTTAGGGTTTAGGGTTTAGGGTTTAGGGTTTAGGGTTTAGGGTTTAGGGTTTAGGGTTTGGGGTGTAGGGTTTAGGGTTTAGGGTTTAGGGTGTAGGGTTTAGGGTTTAGGAAACATCCTACAGGGGCTTGGGTTTGATTTAGAGTTTATGGGTGAGTGAAGGGTTTTCGGTTTAGGGTTTCGGAATTAGGGTTTTTCGGGTCTAGGGTTTAGAGGTCAGGGTTTAGGGGTCAGGGTTTAGGGGTTAGGGTTGAGGGTCTCGGGTGTAGGGTGTGAGTTGGCTCTTGGGGGCCTATTGTCTTCGCAAGCTCTACCAGAAGAAGACAAAGGTACTGCAAGAAGAGCTACAATTGAGGGAACCGTAAGCCCCGAAAGCATCCTCAGCAAAGGCACTGCCCAAACCCCTAAACCAAAAACCCTAAACCCTTAACGGCAAAGGCACTGCCAGCCCCCTGCTGGTGGGACCATGGCAGTCGCATCGGGGTGGAACGCCCACACCTCTTCCGCGGGGGTGGAGGAGCTGAACCCAGCCCAGAAAAGGGGGTTTAGGGTTCAGGGTTTAGGGCTTGGGATATCGCAATGATGCAGGAATGAACATTTTCGCTCCAGTAGGACAAGTGGGGAGCACTTGTGTAAGTATAGATGTCTTTAAGCTACAAATCTGCAGGGTTTGCGGCTTCAGGCAGACATGCGCAGCCTCCCCGTGATGAGGGCCCAGGGGTTTAGGGTTTAGGGTTTAGGGTTTAGGGTCTAGGGTTGAGGGTCTAGCACAGCCGACCCTAAGCCCTCAAACCTATGCCGAAAACGTTCTCCGAAAGACCGAACCTTATCAACAAATCCCCAAACCCTTCTTTAAACCCCAAGGTCCTGTTCAATCCTGGAACCCTACACCTTACAACGAAAAGGCCAAAAAGCCTTCAACCCCTCAGCCCAGGCTCTAACCCTGAAGCCCCTAAACCCTAAAGCCCCTAAACCCTAAAAAACCCTAAAGCCCGTAAACCCCCTAAACCCTAAACCCTAAACCCTAAAGCCCCCAACATTTCGCTTCCCAGCCTCGTCCCCGCCAATCTGTGGGCCGAACCACCAGCCGCTAAAGTCGGGGCTCTCTGTATCCTCCCAGAAATACCTTGGCTTATAGGGTTCTTAAGGGGTTTAGGGTTTAGGGCTTAGGGTAATTATTGGGTTCATAAGGGTTCATGGGGAGGTACCTAGGAAACCTTGGGAAGCTTAGGGAGCCTTAGGGAGTAGTAGGGAGTATCAGGGAACCGTGGGTTCCATACCCCCTCCCTTAAGGACCCTGTAGTTGGCATTGGGGCTTGCAGGGTGTCGGAGCGAAGGCGTGCAAGGTTCATTAGTACTCTTGGAAGCTTGCGAGGGCGCATTCTACTCTTGAAGATCAAGGTGCAGCAAGCCTAATGCGGTAGGCGCAGGGCGCTAGAAAGGTTGATCCTCGGGATACAAGAGCACTACTGCAAGAACTCTGGTGACATCATACGACATCATACTTACGACAGAAAATTACCTAAACAAAAAGAACATGAACACACGAACAAAGTGTGAG